TTGTGATGAGATGAGGATATTCAGGACTATGTGGTGCCAAACTTTGTTCAGTTGGAGCCTCTTGATCTGACAATCTTTCATCCACCAAAAAAGCATCTTCCTCTGGATCGTGTGATTCTTTTGATCTCATTTTCGTGTTGGAATTGGAGGGTTGCTTGCTGGATTTCTTTTTATGGCACTTGAAGACTCTTCATGAGAGAGAGAAAAGATTCACTCTTCTTTTCTTCTTTTTCTCTTGTTTTTCCTCAATCATCATCATTGCATCGTCTTCAACATCTTCTTCCTCATTCAATGGCTTTTCCGCTTCTTTTGGAAGAAGATTCTTTTTATCCTTCTTGGTTTTCTTTTTTCTTGTTCTTCTTCACCATCATCAGCACCTTCCTGATTGTCATCAGTCTTCTTTTTGTCTTTTTGTAGACTTTCGTTTCTTTTGGTTTGTTCTTTGTCAAAGTCTTGATCGTCTTGTTCTTCTTGATCACTGGATGGATGTCCTTTTTCTTCTTGTCAACAATTAATTGTGAATAATAGTGCTGACTTGATGCTGCATTTCCTGTAATATCTTTCTCTGAAACGACTTGAATCACGAGGGCTCCATCAATGCCATTCACTTTGAGTGCAGCTTTTGTTTTACAATTGCAGCTCTCTAAATCTTTCTTCACTTTGGGAATAATTTTGCCAAACTCTTATTGAGAGCTAACTTTCGATCAATGCAGATGGATTGCAGTTGTGAATTACCATTTCTCAAGTGTTTGAAAATAGTGAGTACAATTTCTTGATTTTCCTTAATGTGTTTTCCAAGAAATCGGATTAACTTGAGAAAGTTAGCCAAGAAGGTTTTGCTCCAATCAGAGTGGCTTGTAATATTTGAGCTGTACATGAAGTATTTCTGGTGAGACGTGTCAAATTCTTGTAGAGACACAGAATATGGCTGAGTTTGGTCAAACTTTGCTGTTCGATTTTGCGGTCAAATCACACTGCATTAACTTTTAGCCAGCACCAAATAGCATCTTTTAAAGCAAATTGGCATGGTTGATTTGGTAATTGTTGGAAATTCTTGATCTAATACATTGCTATTGTCTCCAAAATGTTCATCACTTAGCTTTTTCGAAAGAGCTTCCACCAAGAGGTGTCAAAACCACCTAGCAAGGTAATGTATCCTTCAATCAAATTTCCTAGAGCGTCAGATTTGACCTGCGAGAATGGAGTTTGGAGTATCTGTTCTGCAACTCCTTGCAATGCTTTTAGGAGGCTTTTGATATTAGAAACTAGTGCTATTGATTTTAGCAATTCATAGAGTTTGTAACAGGACTCAAACGATTTTAGAGAGTCAAGTATTTTTCTGATGGATTCGAAAAGTTTTGTGCATTTGTCTTCATCCTCCATCGAATGATCTTCATCAGGAAAGTCCACACTAAACATAATGTCAATTATTTTACAAAATTCCAACTTGTCGCTCGAAAAATATTCCAACGTTTTGGTAATAATGTCAACCAATAATTGAAATGATGGTACTATGAAATCACCGTTCTTTGTTGACTCTTCATCTTCGTCAACTGCTTGTGAACTACTGTCATTGCTAGCACTTTTGTCTGATATGGCTCTTATTTGTTTGTAAAGTTGAGGCAGTAATTCAAAAATTTCAGAAAAGAACTCTTTGGTAGATATTCTAGATAAATTATACATGTTTTCTTTTTCTTTGGAAGTAAAGAAAGAAACCTTATTTCTTGCAATCACACTCTTCAATTTTTGGTGCAAATCATCTAAAATGTAGAATAAATGTACGGGCTCAATTTTCTTTTCACAATTCTCGTTCTTTGGAATGATGTGAATGACTTTCAGGTCGAGCTCTCTGTAGTGAGGTTTGAGAGGTGATAAATGCTTGCGTTTGGTTGGTGTTGATGAATACTCGGTGTTCTTTGTACTCGAAGATTTTGACGTCATCTCTTCGTCGTCTTCCATTGCATCTTCTTCCTTGTCTTCTTCATCTTCTGGGACAGCAGAGGGTTGTTTCTTTTTTGGATTTGGATGATGTCTTTTTTTGAAGTGACGCTTGCTGGAACCTCTTGTTGTGTTAGCAAGTTGAAATGTGGCAAATGGAACGTTGGATGCTTTGAGAGACACAAATCTAAATGTTTTTCAAGAAAATTTAGAGTTTCAATGCGTTCCAAAAGAGCGCTATTACACCTCTCGTCGTCTGCAAACCCATTCAACAATTCTCTGAACCAATTGATTGCAAAAAATAAGGAAAGGCATACCAAATCCTTTTCATTCTTAGTATAGTCTCTAAAGTTGGTAATCATATCCTCATGATCAAATAACACAACTCCAGAAGAAACCAAATCATCAGACAACTCCTCTCCCAGCTTATTCATCAACACTCTCATGAGCCTAAATTGCGAAAATAAATTCCACACACTCTCGTGGGTGTCATCTCTCTTATTATCGAGTAATGGTAAAATATTGATGAGATGCGTTGGGTCTTCTTTGTTTTTTCCTTGCACAATAAATTGAGCTCTATACTCGAGGTTCCTTGTTTGACTTTTCTGTTTTTTTAAGGTCTGGTTTTTCAATGGTACATCTTTGGTAAAAATCATGGAGTAATCGATTCTTGATTTCAGCTGTCAATTTAGGATCTAAGGAATCTAAAATTACAAAGGTCATTTCATCGTAAAGAATGGTTTTGAAAATAGGTGTACGAAAACAGCACTTGAGAGCAAACTCCCACAAGTCTTTGGCTTCCTCAAATTCCTCATCGGATAAATCTTGTTGATCACTCACTTGTGACAGCGCTTGAAATTCGGAACTTCTCGAGCCAAGCATTGACAGCACCGAGCATGCTCCAATGATTCCCATCTTCTTATATACAGTGTTGGTATTACTGAGTTGTTTTCTGATAATTATCATTAATTCGTCCTTGGTGGATTTAGTCACACCTGATTGGGTACTATTTTTCAACGTTTTGGTATATGCAAGCATACTAAAAGAGTGTAGACTTTTCTCACTTGACCATCAGTGAGATTGGTCAGAGAGTCTAACAGAACCTGGAAAAAGCTAGAGTAATTTCTCAATAAGGATAACTTGGAGTTTGCAATCATTAAGAGAACATCAAGTGCCAAGTCCTTTTCGTTTTTCGAGCTACTTCCTACATGTGTAATGAGAGATTGAATGACCTTCTGTTTGTTGTAGTCTGCTTTGAAAGAGCAAAACATGCAAAAATACATTTCCATAGCAAATTGTGAAATGGAGGTGTCAGTTGTGTTTCTGAGTAAGCTACTAGCCAAATCATTGAGGGAGGAAAAATATTGTTCCAATGCTTCTCCATGATTCTCGATTGAAGATTTTAAGAGTTCATATGTAATTCGTTTTGTTTTGATCTTTTCTTTAGTACCTGCTCTGCATCTTTTCTATAGTTTGGCATTGAATAAATTGAAAAAGAATCCACAAATCCACAATGGTATGTTCTTCTTCGCAGGCTGATATGGCTTGAATAAAACTCTTCTCAATAATTTTTCGATGTCTAATACCAGTAGCCATGGCACTAATAATGAGCGATTCACAGCGCGATTCTGATGAACCTTTGCCCTTATTCTTTCGACTCGAGTGATCATGATTTTCGTCATTATCTTGAGTGTCGTCTTGCATTGTGAATGATGAAACATCAAGATCCTTCCTTATTCCATCAACCACATTTGATATATTTTCCTCATTTGCAGATTGAAGTAAAAATTTGATAATTACAGGTAAGTCGTCGGTCGAGGCTGAATTTAAATTTCCCAAAACTCGTTCTGTTGTTTTGTCCATAACCTCTTTCTGTAAATTCAGATTTGATAAGGCATCGATCACACAACTTGTCATTTCTGTTTTGTCTTGCATGACTTGATCGAGCTTGTCGACGATATGATCATGTTCCGAGTCATCAATAATTTCAGGAATTGCAGTAATCATTTCTTTTGCAAAATCAGTAGAGGCAACCTCTAAAATGGTTCCAATGTGCTCTGTCAATGACTTGGAATCTGAAATCATGTCCAACCAACGCATTTGTGAAAGAATGAGCTTGGGTAAATTTCGATCCCATTGTTCGAAGGAGTCTTCCTCGTAATTGGGACATCTGGACATGAGCTCTTTGAATAAGACATCAAAAATACTACTCTGAATGGTTGAAATATTGAGAAGCATTTTGAAAAAGGATTCATTGGAAGAGAAGCTGACATTTCCTTCTCCACTGATTATTTATAATATCGATATGTATCATTGCAGAATTGTTTGAAGTGAGTATCATTATCATCGTTGCACAAGACACAATCAAATATATCAAAAATCAATTAGCTGAAACTTACCTTTCGAAAGGAATCAAACACAAGGAAAAGAAATACTCATCGGCAATCATGGACTCGAGTGCAAAGCAAAAGTTTTCAATTTCTCGTTTACTGGTCCGAGCAACTTCCTTCTCAATGTGCCTTCTCAATTCCATCGCATCCTTCACTCGTAACGCTTTAATGGATTCAAATGGTGATGATAGATTCATGGTGCTACTACTTGACGATGATCCCGATCGGTTCTTCTTTGAATAACTATTGCAGCTACTAGTATTATTTGTTTTGATGATGACGCGGTTGAATTGAACCTTTTCATAGGGTGGTAATCCAATCAATCCTCCATCCCGAAGCAAATTATAAAACTTTTTCAAGTGTTGGGAAACATTTGGTTGTGATGATGACGACGAAGATGAGGGCATTTTTTTTGTTCGATTCGAAACTTGAACAACAATTTGGGAAAGCTTTTTCTTCACTCCAAAACATTTAATTCCTCCAAAGAACAGGAAATTCAACCTCACTGAATGCAAAATTGATTGAGCAAAACTTGAGAGCAAAACCTAATGGATAGTTTTAATAATGAATATGATGAATTTTAAAGTTTGGATGTTTTGGAAGCAAAGCTTGACAAGTCCTTGTTTTCCGCTTCAGTGAGTGCTTGATCCACACAATCAATCAAGAATTGTGCATCTTCTTTGGTCAAACATACTGGACCTTTGATCCTCAACACATTCTTGTGAGGTCCTCCACTTCCAATCAACACTCCCAATTCCTTTGTTCTTTCCCAAACGTATTTTGTTTCTTGAACAGCTGGTGTTAAGTCGCCAATGTGTGCATTCTTTACGAGTTCAACTCCCAAAAGAGACCTCTGCCTCTGACATCTCCAATCAATTTGTGTTTTTCATGAGTTTTGTAAGTCCATCCTTTAGGAATGTTCCAACTTCTAAACTATTCTGTTGTAAATTTTCATTTTCAATGACTTCCATGACTGCCAATCCAACAGCACAACTCACTGGATTTCCACCAAATGTATTGAAATATTGTGACTTGTCGAAGGCTTCAGCAATTTTACGAGTGGTGACTACACATCCCAATGGATGACCATTTCCAAAAGGTTTGCCCATTGTGACAATATCTGGAATGACTCCATCGGCCTCAAAGGCCCAGTAATGGCTTCCAACACGTCCAAAACCAGTTTGGACCTCATCAGCAATACATAAACCTCCTCTTCCTTTAACTTTTGCATAAACTTGTTGAAGATAGCCAGATGGGAATGGAAGTTGGCCTCCTACTCCCTGAATACTTTCATGAATGAATGCTGCAATATCATGCTTTTGCTCCTCACCACTGGATGATTTATGACAGGAGGATGAGCAAACCTTTTTAGTTCTCTTCTCAAATACACGATCGAAATCTTTCACATATTCCTCAACTGCTCGCTCTGGCTTATAAGGACCTCGCAACATGTCAGGCATTCTCACATACTCTACATCACGAGCATAGTAATCCCAGTCAGGACACTTATCACCAGTTCCAGTAGAAATTGATGAAGAAATGCCTGATGTCATTCAAAAAGATGGTTCATAAAAATATGGAGTGTTTGTAACACCCACATGTAGGGTGCAATGGAAAGAAGCATTATTGCATGGTTGTTGTGAAAATAATCCAATAATGTAAACCAATAATTCACATATTAAGGTAGTGAATTGACCAAAAGGAAGAATTGTGTCATCATAATTCAATAATGAGGAAATTAAGGTGATGAATGATAATTGGTTTAACTTTGAAACCTGTTGAGGTTCCAGTAGTTCCATGATATGAATTTTCCAATGCAATAATTGTATTTCTTTCAGTATAAACACGAGCTAATCGTACAGCTAAATCATTCGCTTCACTTCCTGAATTCACAAAGAAACACACTGATAAATCGGATTTTTGTGGCATTTTGGATGTTAATTTCTCCGCTAATCTCACAATCTTGTCATGAAGATAACGAGTGTTTGAATTGATGAATTGCAATTGGTCAACAGTTGCTTGAATGACATGTGGATGGCAGTAACCGACTTCAGCCGTTCAAGAGTGAGAGAGATCATGAATGATACAAAAATGCAATCATTTTCATGATGATGATGAACGAAATGATAAATTCAGAATTATGTCCATTTAAAGGCCGGAATATTTTGCGACCATTAATAAGTGTGTAATTAGATGACAGGGTAGGACCGTTCGGACATCATGATGTGGTTGGTGGTCATGGGTTGCATGAGAGTTGGTGCACCGTCATGATGACGACGAGAAGGATGGTATTGGCAAATACATGAAGAAGGTTTACATCATGCATATTATTATTTCAACAGCAATCATTTCAAATGGTGATGAAAATGCATTTTGTGTAAATTCACAATTATTTCATCGCCATATTTCAAATTTTTAGAAAAACAAGAACATAAAACCATCCTGACTGACTTACCATGAGCAACATTGGCATAAGCATCCAAATATTTCTTTCCAGTTTCATCAAAAGCATATTGTTTATCACCTCGGACCAGCATGAGTGGACTCTCATAAAAGGTATACTGAGCCTTGGCCAAGTACTTTTGGCGATCTTGAATAATCTTCTCCTTCGAAAGAAGATGTGTGGCTGCCTTTGATCCAGCCGTGGATGTAGTGGTGGCCACACAGGATTTGAATTGATGGGCCGATGACATTTCGCGAATGCTGCAGAGAGAGAACGAGAAGGAACAATTAAAACTGTTGTAAAGGTCTGGAATATACAACTACTGTGATTTTGAAGGTTCAAAAGAGCTGGTCGTT